TTAATCTCTTTGAATTAATCATGGCTATATGGTTTTAGATCTCAAGTTTCATGATGTAGATCTAACATACTGTTCAAGTACACCCTTCCCTTCCTCAAAATTCCCAATGCGGGGCTATACCCATACATGAACATTCCAACAATCTCTCCATGTACTTGTGAGTATTATTAGCTCAATCGTCCCCTGGAGCATGGGCCGTTATTAACTTCGTATGAATCTAAAGGTTATAGAGAGGTGACGTGGCTATCTGTCATTCGTGGGTTAACCTGACTTTGACCCAAGCTAGTAACCATACAAAAGCAACACATCTAAAAAAAAGGCTGGGAGTCAAACTAACTCAAAATTTATCGGAAAGATATGGGGCCAACGACTGTTTTAAGTCCGGAGGTTCGAGACCCTTTTCCCTTAATTTAATCAACTATATTAGGGATAGATTATCATATTCTAAAATATATTAATCAACTTAACACGATATGAAGAGATAAATTCAACATATTCTATAACAGAGGAATTAAAGATTTGTGAAATCTGAAGATTATATATAGGCTAAAACCCCGTACCCTTTGATATACGGACTAATTATTAGGACATTTGAGACCCGTCCCTTAATTTAATCAACCATATCAGGGGTGGGTTAGTCTTATTTTAAAATGTACATTAATTGAATAACACAATATGAAGGGGGTTAGTTCAATATATAATTTAGCGGTTAATTCAACGTATAACTTAGCCGAGACATCTAAGATCTGTGAAATCAGAAGGTAACATATAGGATTGATCACTAGGACATTTGAAAAGTGCAATTCTCTTTTACGTTATAAAAATACCTCTCCATGCTTTGAGGGCAGCCATTCCCTTAGATTTTAAGTCAATGGTGAACGTTTCTCTTTCCTTGGCATCCCAAAAGAAAGAAAAAACAACCTCCAAAGCTCTCTCTTTCTATTTCGACCTTCCATCTCTCACCTCTCTCTCCTCTAAGATCAAGAACAACAAAACATGCCGGTCATCGATCCGTCGGTGCTGAACGATACCGCGAAGGACGCATACCTTGCGGCTTGCTACGGCAAAAAGCTGGTCACGTCGCAGGGCGTTTTCCTCGGCAACAACCCCTTCCATTTCTCTCTCCCTACGTTGTTGCTTGAATTGTCCGTCGTCTTTATTGTCACGAGAACCATGCATTACTTCCTGCAACATCTCGGCCAGCCTCGAGTGGTTTCGCACATACTCGTGAGTCGTCCGATATATCACGTACATGTTCTTCGTAAAATTACTAATAAATTAGTTTTTCCTTCAATTTGAAGGGAACGAATCAGTTTTTTTCCGAGGCTTTGAGGATGAAGATGTAATTTAACATCGCGTTATTTTCATAGGACAATCTAGCAGAGAAAATGCGCGAGACTGCGGAAAGGAACTCGTCACGCTAGTTTACACGTTTATCTTCAATGTAGCCGTAGGAATCTAAAGATAAAAATGTAAATCTTAGTCACATAATTCTTAAGTGGCATCTCAACCTACGTCAAAAATAACATCACCTATCTATCAACCCCCTTAACAAACATTAGGTCCCCTCGTGATTGGACGAGAATGCCCCCCAACAAAAAATAGGTACATACCTGAAAACATTACTTAAGCTAAAAAAGGACATGAAAGAGAGTCTTTCCCCTGCAAATTTTTTAGTAATTTGGACGTCCGTTATTTTCACGTGTACAATCAGATATAATAGTGTTATTTATGAGAAGAATTATCTGACGAAACTAAGGGTTTAAATAAAATTTTAAAAAAAAATTAGGGGTATTATTACCTGATGATGGAATTAGCTTCAGACAGGCATCCTCCTCGGCCCAACAATCATCGGCCAGAGCTCCAAATTCAGCAACACCCTCTTCCCAACCCACAACACCTTCATCCTCGACCTGCTCTCCGTCATCTCCCTCATCTTCTTCCTCTTTGTCATCGGCGTCAAAACCGACCTCTCCCTCCTCAGGAAACCCGGCAAGCACGCCATCGCCATCGGCATCGCAAGCTCCGTCGTGCCCTTCATCCTCTCCACCATCGTCTTCTTCTCCTTCAAGAGCTCCTTCCCTCTTGACCTCCAGCAGAGCTTCCTCATCCTCTACCTCGCTGAGAGACTCGCTCTCTCGTCGTTCCCCGTGATTGCGGATGCTCTGGACGAGATGGGGCTGTTGAATTCTGGACTCGGGAGGATCGTGATGTCCGCGACTCTGATCGCGGATATTTGTAGCTGGGTTCTGAATGCACTGATCACGTCGACGAAGCTTGTCACCAACGCCAACTCGCCAGCAATGGCGGTGGGGTCGCTGGCGTCGTTTGCGGGGTTCGTGATTGTGGTGGTTTACGTGGTGAGGCCGGTGGTGGTGAGGATTGTAAAGAGGACGCCGACGGGGGAGTTGATAACCGAGAGGAGTTTCTTGGGGGTTGTGATGGCGGCACTGGTGGCTGCATTTGTTACCGAAACTATTGGGTATGCATCGTTAAGAGAAAATGTTGTATGCAATATTTGTTACTAGTTAAATTAATTAAAAGACTCTCAACATGAGCGTCCTAATGTAAAGCTCTTCATCACTTCCGACTAATTAACCAAACATTGAAAATAGAAATTTAGATTTAATGTTTGCATATCAAATACTGCATACACAACAGGTACCGCCACACACTCGGCCCTTTCCTCCTCGGCCTAGCACTTCCCGGTGGAATGCCGCTGGGCGTAACGCTAACGGAAAGGCTCGAATCCTTCTTCTTCGGATTATACCTCCCACTTTACCTAGTCCTCGCCGGATACAGAACGGACTTTGGGATGATGCACAACTTTGCGGCGATTGGATTCATCGAGCTGATCGTGTTCATCTCCTACATTGGGAAGCTCATCGGAACCATAGGAGCTGCAGCCTTCTTCGATATGCCGATGAGGGATGCGGTCGTCATGGGGCTCATGCTCAACCTCAGGGGGATTGTTGAGGTTTCCTTCTTCAATAGCTGGGGTTACAATGATGTAAGTCTATATTCCTCCTCAATTTCTTTTAAGAACTGCATCAGCTTTATATTATCTAATTTGCACCGGGCATCCAAATCAAATCTGTTAAATAGTTTTAAATAACACCCATGCTTAAATTTCACCTGTAATATACGATGATATTTTCTGGTGATCTTGTGAGTTTTTATAAAATAGAGAAAAATCTTGATTTGAAATCTAGACTCACAGAGGTGTCGTCCCATATAAAATTTGCTTAAATTTTGCTTTGAACTTGTTCTCGTGTAGCCGTGGTAAGATTTAAACCCAAATTGCTTTGATATTATGTAAATTTTCTTTTTTTTTTCATCAAAACTCAAAAGTTATGGTAAGAGTAATTGTTATACTTTCATACACACTAGTCAATGTGGTTTGTACGTGGTGTTGCGCAGGAAACGACCTCCCA